AAGATCGGGATCAGGTAAGTTTTGATCAAGTCAACCCTCTCTCTTAAGGAAAGCCTCCATCTCTTCCAGCTTGCTACTTTGGCATTGGCAACTACCACCTGCTTTCCCAGTTTCGATGACCTTAGTCACCAGGAACCAAATTTGATGCCAAAAATTTTTTTAATTTCCTGCTGGGGCCTCTGGAAGCATTCTGAAGTTCGAAGCTTTCACCCTCCTCACTCCCATCCCAGAAAAAACACTTCACACTTTTCATGGTTGACTTTAGAGCCAGAAGCCTCCGTGTACTGCTCTATCACAGAGACCACCTCCTGCGCCTCCTCAGTCCCAGAGATAATAACAGACACATCATCAGCATAGGCAACGGACCTTCAAAAGGGCGGCACACCAGCAATGCCCAGAGGCACCCCGGCACAACATGCCGCCCTCTAAGCCTTCTTACAAATGGGTCGATTGCGAAAGCATATAGCAGGGGGGCTCAAAGGACATCCCTGGCGCACACCAGAGCCGACCTCAAAAGGCCGCCCAACCCAACCATTAACAAGTGGGAAGCTCTCAGCCCCTTTATATAATGTCTTCAGCCCAATCTATAAACCTCCCCTGCAGGCCGTATCTACCAAGCAGCAACCACAGATATTCATGATTCACTCGATCAAAAGCTTTTGCCTGATCCAATGCCAGCAAGTACATTCTCCATCCAGCAGCCCTGCAAATCGTTCCAAAGCCTCCCCGTATAGCCAAATAACTGCTGAAAATGGGTACTTCTACCTTGGAATTCGAAACAGTGCTGATGGCTGGACAACAAATTGCCTGCTACTGACGACAAGTGCCAAAAAAGAATCTTTGCCAAGATCTTTCTATCAACATTGAGAAAGACTGATGGGGCGCCAGTTCTCAATCATTGAGGGGTCTTTACCTTTTGACAGAAGAATCAGCAGGCGATTGCCTCATGGAGGAGGGAGCGAACCCTCTTCTAGACAGCTGTTAAAAACCTCCGCTAAAAAGGGAGCAGAAAGGACTTAAAACACTTGTAAAATTCAGCTGTCAATCCATCTGGCCCAGGCGATTTTTTGGTAGCCAGCTTGTCTTATCTATACATCAACAAACCCCATGAACTACCTCATCCGCTGAAAATTGGGTCTTCTGTCAAATTCATCAAAAGCAATAGCACCATTTCCCAATCCTGGAGTAGAATCCAGCGAAAGCTTTCCATCCTGTCCCAGCTAAGGTCCTTTCTTCCTCAGGAGGTCTGCATAATACGGACCAAAGATCTCCCCAAGATCCCTGATCTGGGACTTTATCAGGAACCCGTACTGTCTTTCAGGCCCAATGACCGTGTCTTAATTGCTATCCTTGCTTACAGTTCTGGTAAGGAATCAGGTGAAGTAATATTTCCCATAATCCTCTCCAGAACCAAAGGCATGCCGGGTCGTATTGACACTTCCTAAGAAGAAGCTTCACTTCAGAGATCTCCCCTGGATCTCCTCCATACGAGACAAGACAATCAAGCTTCCTCCGCAAATGCCAGGTAGGGCAATATACATACCAAGCTGCTTCTTCTTACTTATGGCCTTGAAAAGTCCCAATCGCCCTTTGTGTTTCACAAGCTCCCACCTCTCTGACTTACTGCTCCAAAAGTCCAGAAATAGAAACCTGCGTGCCTGAAAAAAATCCTCAAAGGATTGTTCTTACCTCTAAACATCTTCAGGAGAGCCGAATTCAGTTTCCAGACACCCCTTCCCCTGGTGGAGTGTCCGAGGCATTCAGAGTCACAGACAGCATACAGTGGTCAGAAGAAACTCCCACCGCCTTCAACTCAGAGCCGAGAAAGCAGAGTCTCCTTAAAAAAAAAAACCTGTCTATCCTGCTCTGACTATTCCCTCTCTGAAATGTGAACCCCGTGCTGCCAGGGCAGTGCTTAATGTGCACATCTACCAGGGCCTGCCTGTCTAACCAAATCACTGAGAAAAACGCTATCATTGAACCCAGCCTGTCTATGGAGGCTCCCCTGTCTATGAGCCTCCCCTGTCTATGGAGCCTCCCCTGTCTATGGAGCCTCCCCTGTCTATGGAGCCTCCCCAGTCTATGGAGGCTCTCCTGTCTATAGGAGGCTCCCTGTCTTCAGGCCTAATTATGGTGTTAAAGTCACCTCCAAAGACAACCTACTGCTGGGACGTAAAAAAGGAATGGCTTGATCTTTGTGAGAGGCATTTCCCTGCCCCATTTTGACTGGGACCATAGATTTGATCAGGCGCAGGTCCTGCCCCCTAACAGAGACGTCTAAGATCCATGCATCTCCCCATTTCTAATACCTCAATTACCCGCCGGCACGTTACCATATCGGTTTTTAAAAAGGACGCAACTCCGCTGCAAGTTCAGCCCGCAAGAGACCAAAAGGAGGACCACATCTCCACTCCCTTTTTGCTAGATAGACAATCGGCCAATGTATTGAGCCAGGTCTCTTGCAAAATAAAAATCTCAGCATCAAACTCGCTGAGCAAAAATAAGGCCGTATCACGAGCTCTTGCAGATTTAATGCTGGCGACATTAATGGTCCGCCACCTTTAACAGAGTGGGAACTGCCATCAGGATGATTGGGTAGTCGTTTCTTAACCTCTACCACACTCTCAACACCCGAAACAGCTCTCTTCAGACTGTACGTGACTCCCCCTCATCCATAGATGATAGAGAAATGGATATAATCAGATACCATCTCATCACCTGACAAAACTGAAAAAGCATTGCCAAGAGGGACCCCTCCTGGATCTGATTCCTGAGGAAGAGAGGAACAGCTCTTCTCAACCTCCTCTTCTTCTTCTTCCTCTCTCTCCTTCACCCTCTCCACCCCTCATCAGCCGAAACCCCCCAGCAGGAGGTGAGACATGGACATGGATACCCCTATAAGGATGAGCCCCATCGGCTCCACCCCCATCCGGCTAACCCCCACAACCTCCTGACCACCGGAGTGGAGTAGGCCGAGAGGGAAGATCCGCTAAACCCCCCCCCCAGCAGCTTCCGCCAGTCCTGGAGGATCTACGTACTGTAGGATTAGGGACAGGAGGGACAGACTCAGGGTGACATTACTGGGGGAAAACACAATCTGACACAACAGAGGGAACAGACACAGGGGGGCAACTACATTTCCTCCCTAGCATCAGCTGCCTCATCCTCTTTATCCAGCCTCTGCAGCTCAGCCTCCAGTCCTGGCAGGTTGTGTAGTGCCTCTGGGCACAGACTGTATGGATGACCCAGCTGCTGGCACAAATTACACCGAATCTCGGTGCATTCTTTGGCCAAATGGCCAAAATCCTGGCACAGTGAGCACTTCTTGATGGTGCAGGACGATGCAAAATGACCTTTCTCTCCGCATTTGTTAAAACTTTAGGCTGACCTTGATAGAAAATGGTCAGCCTATCCCTCCCCAGAAAGGCTGAGCAGGGAAGATGCTGAACCACATTGCCAGCACCCTCAATTGCACTGACATCGTCCAGGCCCCTGTCCATATCCTATGCTCATCCAGGACCTTCCGCAGTGGGGTGAGGACCTCACCATGTCGGCGTAGCCAAACTACCAAATCAGCCTCTGGTATGGATTCATTCCGGACCAGGATTGTCACCGATTTTATCAAAGGCTGTCTGGAGACCACCTTTGCCACCAAACCTCTCCACTGCTGAAGGCTCCTGCACCTCCAATATCTCTCCCAAAACAGTCCAGGCCTTCAGGTTTTACAAATGACAAATCGTATTCATAGCTGCCGACTGGGCAGATCAACGCAAACACATCACAGGCTTTAAACCCCATCTCCAGAAATCAACTCCGCCACCCTCCCCCTTTACTGGTGGGTTCCCTTCCCCCTCCCACTTCAACTCTGTACAACATTCCTTCTCCTGGATTCTCAGACACAGCAACAAGTGAGACAATCCATGTGTGCTGTTTGCTCTCCATGTGGTGCAGTGTGCTGCTCCCCTCCCCCCACCAGCATCAATCAGGTCTGGAGCACACTGGGAGCTCAGGTGGAACAGTCTCTCTGCACGTGGCAGCCATCTTGCCTGTAGAGGGACTACTGGTCTCAGCAGGAACAGCAGCAGCAATTTCCATCTGTGGGGTGCTTGGTGCAGGTTCATCCACATTCCCCTGATGGTCTGGAGACCTCTCTGCCAGGGATTTTTCCTCCAGGTTGGCTGAGGATTCCTCCACAGCAGGCTGCTTGCAGAGCTCCTCATCCACAGAACTCACCACAGCAGTGGGGCAGACATGCTGGGAGCAGCCATCTGGTATACTGGGATCTCTCCACCAGTCTTGCTTTGCTGCTCTGTATCTCCTCTGTCCATCCTCAGGACTTCTGCAGGGTTATCAGAGAAGGCGAACTTGTCTGCTCTCAGGGGTGACTCCATGTGCTGGATGAACCTTAAGGTTCCATACTCACCCTCAACCCCCTGGCTGGTTGCCACTGGTGATTCCACAGCCTGACATGGGGGGAGAGACGCTGATGTAGATGGAGCCGGGTCATCCATTACCTGGGGCTGCTGATCCACAGAACTCACTGATGTCTGGCTGGCAAATCTCCCCTCATTATCGAACTTTTCTTTAAATGCTCCACTTCTTGCTTTCAACTTTTCTAATAATAAAGATTGTCTCTTTACTTTCTCCTCCATGTGCTGGAGCGCTGGCTTCATGCCCAATCTGTTCTTGCTCCAGGCCTGGCAGTATTTGGCTCTGAAGGTTTTGTGTTCAGATTTCAAAACATTAAGTTTCTCCTCAGCTCTTCCAATAGTCACAAATCTATCAGTAATCTTCTGTCTGAAGACATCGACATCCTCACCAGGGCCGACCCACAGTCAGGTCCTCCACCTCCTCCTCTTCACTAGGCCCGGTCTCATCAGGGGAATCCCTCCCAGGGCCTCCCCCTGGATCAGGCATGGTTCCTGGGCCAAGCTAGCAGGCAAGGCCCAGGCTTGAAAATGCTGGTTCTCAGGGAGAGCTCCTTCAGTGTGTCCTCCTCCTTCTCCCACTGACCACCAATGTAAGGGACATTCTTCCCACTGACCCCCCAATGTAAGGAGCATTCTCCCCACTGACCCCCAATGTAAGGGACATTCTTCCCACTGACCCCCAATGTAAGGGACATTCTTCCCACTGACCTCCAATGTAAGGGACATTCTTCCCACTGACCCCAATGTAAGGGACATTCTTCCCACTGACCCCCAATGTAAGGGACATTCTTCCCACTGACCCCAATGTAAGGGGACATTCTTCCCACTGACCCCCAATGTAAGGGACATTCTTCCCACTGACCCCCAATGTAAGGGACATTCTTCCCTGACCCCCAATTTGTAAGGGACATTCTTCCCACTGACCCCAATGTAAGGGACATTCTTCCCACTGACCCCCAATGTAAGGGACATTCTCCCACTGACCCCCAATGTAAGGGACATTCTTCCCACTGACCCCCAATGTAAGGGACATTCTCCCACTGACCCCCAATGTAAGGGACATTCTTCCCACTGACCACCAATGTAAGGGACATTCTTCCCACTGACCCCAATGTAAGGGACATTCTTCCCACTGACCCCCCACTGACCCCAATGTAAGGGACATTCTTCCCCACTGACCCCCAATGTAAGGGACATTCTTTCCCACTGACCCCCAATGTAAGGGACATTCTTCCCACTGACCCCCAATGTAAGGGACATTCTTCCCACTGACCCCCAATGTAAGGGACATTCTTCCCACTGACCCCCAATGTAAGGGACATTCTTCCCACTGACCCCCACTGTAAGGGACATTCTTCCCACTGACCCCCAATGTAAGGGACATTCTTCCCACTGACCCCAATGTAAGGGACATTCTTCCCTCTGACCCCCAATGTAAGGGACATTCTTCCCACTGACCCCCAATGTAAGGAACATTCTTCCCACTGACCCCAATGTAAGGGACATTCTTCCCTCTGACCCCCCAATGTAAGGACATTCTTCCCACTGATCCCAATGTAAGGGGACATTTCTTCCCACTGACCCCAATGTAAGGGACATTCTCCCACTGACCCCCAATGTAAGGGACATTCTTTCCCACTGACCCCCAATGTAAGGGACATTCTTCCCACTGACCCCCAATGTAAGGGACATTCTTCCCACTGACCCCCAATGTAAGGGACATTCTTCCCACTGACCCCCAATGTAAGGGACATTCCTCCACTGACCCCCAATGTAAGGGACATTCTTCCCACTGACCCCCAATTTAAGGGACATTCTTCCCACTGACCACCAATGTAAGGGACATCTTCCCACTGACCACCAAAGTTATTTCAAGATTTTGAAATGGGATAAGTGCTTTCAGGGGGATGGTAATGCATTAAAAGGTTCTAGCGGGAACGCAGTTCCCTCCAGAACCCACCAGTGACAGTAATAGAGATTTTCTCCTCCCGCAAAGAATGTAATTTTAGATGGAGATCTGCCTCTCTGTCTCCACAGATGCTCTCTTGGGACCCAGTTCTGGATTTTTCCTGCCATGTGAACGGTTCTGTGATGATCTCCTGTGTGCTGGGGTCAGGGTCAGGCGCTTTGTACTCCTGGACTGTAGATGGGCAGCCCCCGCAGAGCGACACCAATTCTTCATGGCATGTCAGTGGGAATCACATCACAGGAGAAGCCAACTCTCCGCGGAACGTCAGCTGCTTGGCCTGGAATGTCTTCAACCACGTGTGGAGTCCCCAGCAGGTGATTCACTGCCAAGGTGAGAGGCGTTGGGCTCCTTTTATACAGATGGCGATGTTCAGGAATGGGCAGCAAGGGGCCAGCAGGAGGTTGCCCAAGGGTGTATGGCCTTCCAGTGGAATCGTCCTCAACTCCAACCAAAAATATCTCTCCTGTTTTGTTGGAGGTAAAAGAAAAGGTTTATTGCTGGCCATGTCCCTATTTCTTACTTCCTGTCCTGCACAAGGCCTTAGAATGAGGGGGTGTCGTAGACTGACCTGCACCTTTATAGGGATACCTGAGCGGCCATCTTTCCACCCACAAGGCCTTAGAATGAGGGGGTGTCGTAGACTGACCTGCACCTTTATAGGGAATACCTGAGCGGCCATCTTTCCACCCACAAGGCCTTAGAATGAAGGGGTGTCGTAGACTGAAAGAGGGTTTGTGAAAAGAAATTCACAGATTGACCAGATTCGTAGATTGACCTGCACCTTTATAGGGAATACCTGAGCGGCCATCTTTCCACCCACAAGGCCTCAGAATGAAGGGGTGTCGTAGACTGACCTGCACATTTATAGGGAATACCCGAGCGGCCATCTTTCCACCCACAAGGCCTTAGAATGAAGGGGTGTCGTAGACTGACCTGCACATCTATAGGGAATGCCTGAGCGGCCATCTTTCCACCCACAAGGCCTTAGAATGAGGGGTGTCGTAGACTGACCTGCACCTTTATAGGGAATACCTGAGCGGCCATCTTTCCACCCACAAGGCCTTAGAATGAGGGGTGTCGTAGACTGACCTGCACCTTTATAGGGAATACCTGAGCGGCCATCTTTTTCCACCCACAAGGCCTTAGAATGAGGGGGTGTCGTAGACTGACCTGCACATTTATAGGGATACCTGAGCGGCCATCTTTCCACCCACAAGGCCTTAGAATGAAGGGGTGTCGTAGACTGACCTGCACCTTTATAGGGATACCTGAGCGGCCATCTTTCCACCCACAAGGCCTTAGAATGAAGGGGTGTCGTAGATTGACCTGCACCTTTTTAGGGATACCTGAGCGGCCATCTTTCCACCCACAAGGCCTTAGAATGAAGGGTGTCGTAGATTGACCTGCACCTTTTTAGGGATACCTGAGCGGCCATCTTTCCACCCACAAGGCCTTAGAATGAGGGGGTGTCGTAGACTGACCTGCACCTTTATAGGGAATACCTGAGCGGCCATCTTTCCACCCCACAAGGCCTTAGAATGAGGGGGTGTCGTAGACTGACCTGCACCTTTATAGGAATACCTGAGCGGCCATCTTTCCACCCACAAGGCCTTAGATGAGGGGGTGTCGTAGACTGACCTGCACACATTTATAGGGAATGTCTGAGCGGCCATCTTTCCACCCACAAGGCCTTAGAATGAAGGGGTGTCGCGTAGACTGACCTGCACATTTATAGGGAATACCTGAGCGGCCATCTTTCCACCCACAAGGCCTTAGAATGAAGGGGTGTCGTAGACTGACCTGCACCTTTATAGGGAATACCTGAGCGGCCATCTTTCCACCCACAAGGCCTTAGAATGAGGGGGTGTCGTAGACTGACCTGCACATTTATAGGGAATACCTGAGCGGCCATCTTTCCACCCACAAGGCCTTAGAATGAAGGGGTGTCGTAGACTGACCTGCACATCTATAGGGATACCTGAGCGGCCATCTTTCCACCCACAAGGCCTTAGAATGATGAGGGGTGTCGTAGACTGACCTGCACCTTTATAGGGAATACCTGAGCGGCCATCTTTCCACCCACAAGGCCTTAGAATGAGGGGGGTGTCGTAGACTGACCTGCACCTTTATAGGGAATGTACCTGAGCGGCCATCTTTCCACCACAAGGCCTTAGAATGAGGAGGTGTCGTAGACTGACCTGCACCTTTATAGGGAATGTCTGAGCGGCCATCTTTCCACCCACAAGGCCTTAGAATGAGGGGGTGTCGTAGACTGACCTGCACCTTTATAGGGAATGTCTGAGCGGCCATCTTTCCACCCACAAGGCCTTAGAATGAAGGGGTGTCGTAGACTGACCTGCACCTTTATAGGGATACCTGAGCGGCCATCTTTCCACCCACAAGGCCTTAGAATGAGGGGGTGTCGTAGACTCACCTTTATAACGCCCTCCTGTGTCTTACAGATCCAGAAGAGAAGTTGGGAGTCGCTGAGCACTGCATGAAGGTGGTTCTGTTTGTCATGTACAATGTCCTCCTGCTACGAGGCGTATGGGGGGTAAGGAAAGCAGCCGCAGCCAATCCGTGAAGACTCGGCATGTTCTGTGTGATTTAAAAAGGAGCCAAACAACTCTGTGATAATAAATGTCTTCACATGATCATCATCCTTCAATAAAAGAGCATTTTTTGGCACATCAGTCATATTTTCAATATCAATGCCAACATTTCACAATTTCTGCCGGGGGAGGGAAACCTTTGAGTACAACTGTACCTAGTGTCTGCCCCGTATATCTGCGTAAAACAGGAGTTTGACTTTACACGTTCACTGGCCACATGCTTGTTTCAGGTCAGTGACTCAGAAAAGCAGTCAGAGACATCTGGGGAACCAGCAACTTCACAAGACCAGCAATGTCTTCCTTCATCTTTCCATGAGGTCTAATAATACATTTTGCTACAAGCAGATAACAATGTAACATCAAATAAATAAATATGTTACAGTGTTACCCCGAGCTACAGCGCTGCAAGCCTTCCTGTGTGTCTATGTCAGCCAGTCCCGTCAGTCTCTGCACCACAGGAGCTTACACTCTAATGCCCCCCTCCCCCACAGTCCCATCAGTCTCTGTACCAGAGGAGCTTACACTCTAATGTCCCCTCCCCCGCAGTCCCATCAGTCTCTGCACCACAGGAGCTTACACTCTAATGTCCCCTCCCCCACAGTCCCATCAGTCTCTGCACCACAGGAGCTTACACTCTAATGTCCCCTCCCCCACAGTCACATCAGTCTCTGCACCAGAGGAGCTTACACTCTAATGTCCTCTCCCCCGCAGTCCCATCAGTCTCCGTACCAGAGGAGCTTACACTCTAATGTCCCCTCTCCCCCGCAGTCCCATCAGTCTCTGCACCAGAGGAGCTTACACTCTAATGCCTCCTCCCCCACAGTCACATCAGTCTCTGTACCAGAGGAGCTTACACTCTAATGTCCCCTCCCCCACAGTCACATCAGTCTCTCTACCAGAGGAGCTTACACTCTAATGTCTCCTCCCCCCACAGTCCCATCAGTCTCTGTACCAGAGGAGCTTACACTCTAATGTCCCCTCCCCCGCAGTCCCATCAGTCTCTGCACCACAGGAGCTTACATTCTAATGTCCCCTCCCCCCACAGTCCCATCATTCTCTGTACCGGAGGAGCTTACACTCTAATGTCCCCTCCCCCCACAGTCCCATCAGTCTCTGTACAGAGGAGCTTACACTCTAATGTCCCCTCCCCCACAGTCACATCAGTATCTGTACCAGAGGAGCTTACACTCTAATGTCCCCTCCCCCCGCAGTCCCATCAGTCTCTACCAGAGGAGCTTACACTCTAATGTCCCCTCCCCTACAGTCCCATCAGTCTCTCTACCAGAGGAGCTTACACTCTAATGTCCCCTCCCCCACAGTCCCATCAGTCTCTGTACCAGAGGAGCTTACACTCTAATGTCTCCCCTCCCCCACAGTCACTATTATTATTATACATTTCTAAAGCTCTGACATATACCGCAGCGCAGTAACGGAAGGGTGAAGGTGGTTGGGGGGGTGCAGCACAGACAGAGTTAAGAAGAAGTGAAAGTTGTCAGTTGTCGGTGGACACGCTCCTCTGATCGCTCCTCTGATCACTTCCTCTCAGTTGGGGTTTGATTCTGAGTCAGGACTTATAAATAAACAGAAGTTTGCAGCAAACATCCCCATATAAGAGCCTTGCCGCGTCTGTGTCACCAGTGATCACCGGATGGCCGCCTCGGGGCCCCAGATATAACCTGTATACAGTAGTGTAACCATGAGGGCTCTGCCGTGTACACCGACACGTGTGTATGGGTGCCTTTATAAAGTGCGGTCCCACTATGAGAAGAACCAACGTTGGGGCAGTTATCACGGGCAGTCCTT